TCTTTCCCTCAGCTTCATTCTTCATGACGCCCATGAGATCCACAGGTAGAACTCTCCATGGAGTTGAATGTTCTAGTTTTAATATTTTCCTCGTCACTTGTTCTGGAAAATTACGCCCCCCCCCCAAAAAAAAAAGAGGTTTAGATTAAAGGTGAATGCAAGGCCAAAATAAAACAAGCAAACAACAACAGGATAAAAGAGCAGGAGACCTAGAATGTATTTTCCTTCCCTACTTCCAATTAGAGGTAGAAATGTATTTAGTGACCTTGATATTTCTGCTACCGAGGAGAATCCTATGTACCTCAATCCATGGTAAAGATAATTTATCATACATTTCTCAATTTGGTTCATCTTAAAAAATAACCAGGCAGGCTGGCTCTGTGGTCTGGCGGTTAAGGCAGCCGGATCCCACATGGCTGACCGAGTGGTTTTGAGTCTTGGGCTTGGTGGTTGGAGAGACATGTTGGTGTGTGTGCTCAAATCCTTAAAGGAGGGAGGGAAGGAGGAGAAGGGATTGCAGTGGGAGCATGCCTCATTGTGGGTGCTTTCACTGTCTCCCCCTCTCTCTGTTTCTCTGCCTCTCTTTGGTGAGCCCTCTAGCAACACCACCACCACCACCACCAACAACAAAAAGCTCAAAATAGGGCCAGCAGGTAGTATGGTGGTTAAAGCTTTGGATCTCATATAAGCAACTCTGTGGTTCAAGTCCCAGACCTGGCGGCTTGGGAAACACACTGGGCATGGGTGTGCATGTCCAAAAATCTGAGATGAGAATAGAGAAGGGATTGCAGTGTGTCTATCCCTCCTTGAAGGGTGACATCTCACTTTCTCTCTCTCTTTCTTTCTCACTCTCTCTCTCTCTTTCTCACTCTCTCTCTCTCTTTCCAGTGAAGGCATGTGCCCTATGGCAAAAATCTAAAAAAATGAAACCAAAACTAAACAATAAAATGACCAGGGTCTGCAGCAGTAGTGCATGCTGGATTTTGTTACTTGATGGGCTGATGTCACATGGGAGGCCTGGACTCTTTTCCCAGACCACACTAAGAGTCATGTGTCTTGGTCCCTATAGTCCCAGCTACTTTGAGGCTGAGGCAGGAGGATCCGGAGCTCACAGCTGACACAGGCACCCTGGCTAGACCCTGTTGGAAAGAGCTGAGTGTGGTGGCATGTGCCTGAGGTCTCAGCTGCTTGGAAAGTGGAGATAGGAAAACTATGTCTAAAAACCACCACACACGGGGCTGGGAGGTGGTGTGGTGGTTAAGGCGGCTGGGCTCCCACATGGTTGACCGCGGTTTGAGTCCAGGACCTGGCAGCTTGTTTTCTCACTTTCCTTCTCTCCCTGGTCAACTTCATTAAAAAGATCAAATAATGACAATGAATAGAATTAAATAAAATTAATTCTAAATAAAACCCCCAAACACCCACCACACACACACCCTAACATATTCTTTATTTTCAAAAAAGATTTTTGCCATAGGGTGTGTGCACTTGCTGGAGAGAGACAGAGAGAGAGAAAGTGAGTAATCACCCTCCTGAGTGATGGTCACACTACAGTCCCTTCTTCTCCAGTGTCCTCTTGGGATTTTGGTCACACACACACACATATGAGCCCGGTGTGATTTTCAAGTTGCCGGGTCCAAGACTTGAACTCTACAGCCAGCTATGTGGGATCCAGCACCTTAACCTTCATGCCACCCACTGTCCCTGGTGTTTCTTTCTTGCCTTTTTTTTTATTTTTTTTTTGCTATAGGGCGCAGGCGCTTGCCAGAAAGACAGAGAGAGAGACAGAGAGACAGAAAGCGAGAAATCACCCCCCAGGGGGGATGGCCACGCCGCAATCCCTTCTCTTCCTTTCTCCTCTCGGGATCTTGGGCACGCACACAATGCGTCTGGCGTGAGTTTAAGCCACCAGGTCCGGAATTCGAACCACGGCCAACTACATGGGAATCCAGTAACATAGTCATTACGCCAACTGCTGGTCCCTGTGGTGTTTCTCTTTAATAATAATAATTTTGCTATAAGGTGTGTGCACCTGCTGGAGAGACAGAGTGAGAAAATGGGAAAGCACCCCCATGGGAGAGGGTCATGCTGCAATCCCTTCTCCTCCAATTTCCTCCCAGGATCTTGGACATACACGCATAGGCACCCAGCGTGTCTTTCCAGACACTGGGTCTGGGACTTGAACCATGCAGCTGGCCTCATGGGATCCAGCTGTTCTAACCAGCACACCACCTGGCTCTTTTTCTCTGGTGTTTTTTTTTTTAGATGCAGTGGTCCTGCCTCAACCTTCCGAGCAGCTGGGACCACAGACACATGCCACCATTCTCAGCTCTCTCAGGCAGGGTCTAGCTCTGTGGCCCGAGCTAGCTCTGAGCTCACGATCCTCCTGCCTCAGCCTCCCGAGTGGCGGGGACTACAGGGGAGAGTCCTTGAGGAACCACGTCATGAGAACGAGGGACTCAGACAGGTGATCGGACAAAGAACTCTCCCCTGTAGTCTCCAGAAAAGGAAGCTCATATCAACAAGCAGAGAGGAAGTGTGGGGTGTCAAGGGATGGAGAGAGGGAAGTGAAACAGAGGTCACAGACTCTCTTACCTCACTGGGCTTTGAGTCAGGGCAGACTTGCTGGAAAGTGTATACGTCTCAGACTCGAATTTGGATTTCATGGCTTCTCGATACCATTTCCGGACCTAGAACGCCAAAAAAAAAAAAAACACCAGGGTGGCTTTTGTGAACAAACCCAAAACATTGGCAAACAAATAGTTGAAAAATCAGCAGATCAGAAAGACGATAGAGGTTTATTATTAATATTATTATTTTTAGATTTTTTTTTTTAGGCTTTTGTCATAGGGTATGTGCACTTGCCCCAGAGAGAGAGACAGAGAGAGAGAGAGGGAAATCACCCCCCTCCCCCCAAGGAGGAATGGCCATGGCACAATCCCGTCTCCTCCATTCTCTTCTTCGGATCTTGGGTATACACGCACATATGCTCAGCATGATTTTCAAGCCTTCAGGTCTGCTGGGACTCAAACCATAGACTTGGCCACGTGGGATTCAGCACCTTAACCTCTATGCTACTTATGGACCCTAGAGGTTTATTACTAAATCACTTTTTATGGCAACCCACTGCCTAGTGGTTAAGGTAGCTGGATCCAACATGACGGACCATGTGGCTTGTATCCTAGACCTAGCAGCCTGAAAAGCAAGTCAGGCATGTGTGCGTTTATGTCCAAAATCCCCAGAGGAGGGAGAGAGGGGACAGAAGAAGAAGTGCTATGACCAAGCCCCATGGGGAAGTGCTTTCTCCTGCTTTTCTCTGACTCTCTCAGGAGAGGGCATGCACCCTCTGGCAAAACAAAACCTTTTTGGGCCAGCAGGGGGCATGGAAGTTAAGGCACTGGCTCTCACATGGCCGGTTCTACCATTCAAACTCCAGACCCGGTGGCTTGAAAATCACACCAGGAAGGACCAGCAGTTAGTGTAATGGCTATGTCGCTGGACTCCCATGTAGTCGACTACGGTTCGAGTCCTGGACCCGGTGGCTTAAACTCACGCCAGGCGCATGTGCGTGCGTGCCCAAGATCCCGAGAGGAGAATGGAGGAGAAGGGATTGCGGTGTGGCCATCCCCCCCCTTGGGGGGGTGATTTCTCACTTTCTGTCTCTCTGTCTCTCTCTGTCTTTCTGATGAACGCATATGTCCTATAGCAAAATCTCTCAAAAAAAAAAAAAAAAAAACCCAGAAAATCACACCAGGCATGTATGCATGTGTGCCTAAAATCCCAAAAGAATCAAAGAGAAAGGATTATGATATGACCATTCCCCTGGAGGAGGTGATTTATCACTTTCTCACTCTGTCTCTCTCTTTGCTGAGCACACACACCCTATGTCAAAAATATATATATAAAAAAAAGATAACAAAAACAAAAAGCAAAATCCTTTCCACAAAATGTGGTATAGTCATAAAATGAGATATGATATTATTCATCCTTAAATAATGAAAAGGAATTCTAACCCGTGCTAAAACATGCATGGACTGTGAAAACATTACAGTAAATGAAATAAGGTGAGACACAAGATAATATCTCTTGTATGATTGATTCCACTTATATGAGGCACCCAGAATAGTCAAGCTCACAGAGAAAGAGAGTTAGGGCTTGGCAGGGAGGAATAAAGAATTATTGCTTGGAGCCAGCAGGTGGCGTGGTGGTTAAGGTGCTGGATTCCAACATGGCTGACCATAGTTTGAGTCCAGGACCTGGCGGCTTGCTTTCTCACAAACTCTTTTGTTCTCTTTCTCTGGTGAGCACATGTGCCCTTTAACAAATTAAAAAAATAATGATTGCTTAATGGGAACAGAGTTTCAATTTCGGATGTTGAAACAGTTCTGGAGAGGGATAATGGTAAAGATTGCACACCACTGTGAACATAAAGCCTCTGAACTATATGCTTACAAATGGTTACATTACTAAATTTTATGTTATGACCCCCATAATTTTGCCACTACTATGGGAGCATACGCTGGGGAATGACTCTCTCTTCTGCCTACGCTTCAGGATCAGTCAAAAGGAGCAGACATGAACCTCATCTGCATCTTGGAATGAAGCCAAATTGAGACCGGCAAAGGTCAGCTAAACCCCCAACTAACCTGCTGACCAAGAATGAGAAACATAAATTTGTGTTTAAGCCACTGAGATTAAAATAATTAAATTGATTATATAATAATCACACATATTTATGGTATGCAGTGTAACCCTTTAATACATGTATACAATGTATAATGATCAAATTACAATAATTAGTATGTCCATCGCTTCAAGTATTTATTATTTCTTTCTTTATTGTTTCTTTTCTTGTAACTATTTTGAAACATACAGTATTTTATTGTTAATGATAGTCCCCAAACTGTTCAATAGGACACAAGAGCTTGTTTCTCCTATCTGTAACTTTTTACTTGCAAACACTGACATTTTTGAGATTGTTTGTTATACAGCATTAGCTGACTATTACAAGTGGGAAAGATAAAGAAAAAAAACTGGGGACCAGCAGTTAGTATAATGACTATGTTGCTGAACTCTCATGTAGTTGACTGCAGTTCGAGTCCTGGACCCGGTGGCTTAAACTCACACTGGGAATGTGTGCATGCATGCCCAAGATCCCAAGAGGAGAATGGAGAAGAAGGGATTGTGGTGTGGCCATCCCCCCTGTGGGGTGATTCCTCACTTTCTGCCTCTCTCTCTGTCTTGTGGGTGAGTGCATGCACCTATAGCAAACAAACAAACAAACAAACAAACCAAAAAAACCTCTCAAAAAAAAATAAAAAGAAAAAAAGAAAAAAGTGGCATTTTTTGATAAAGCAAATTATTTACTTTTTGAAAGCTGTTACTAAATGTTTGTATCTTACCATCAGGAACATCTTAAAGTAGAGAAAATATAGGGGATGTCTACACCTTGGTTACAAGCTCATTTAAAAATTTAGAGATTATGGATTTAAGTGTTCATTAAACTAAGGGTTCTACAAAGTGTTGCTGAGTTTAAACAACAAAAAAAGTGGTCAGTGTTTACCTGTTGGCTGAGAAGGCAGTAGACCAGGAAGATGAAGACTCCCTGCAGGGTGTTGATGATGGTGAAGAGATAGGCCATGACCTGGGCACCTGGACCCACCTGCAGGAGGCCCAGACACCAGGTGCAGCCCAAGATGAAGAGCTGAGCCAGTGCTTTGAACGTCAGCATCCTGAGAAGAGTCAAACAATGACATTAAAAAGATAACAGTGGACATGAACATCCCTGCAGTGTAGCCAGTAATAGGGAGGACTCTGGGGCAGGACTGCCTGATTTAATCCAAGCTGGCACTAAGTACCTGTGTGACCTTCAGCAAGTTAGTTTACCTTTCCTTTTGAAAATAAGTAATAATTTATATATTTAATTTTACTTTTTTTTATTATTTATTTTTAAATTTGACCAGAGAGAGACAGGAAGAGAGAAAGGAAAAGTGAGAAAGCAAACCACCAGGTCAAGGACTTGAACCATGGTCAGCCATGTGGCTGTCCAGTGCCTTAACCACTACACCACTTGCTGGCTCCTAATTTACCTTCTGATAACTCAGTTCTCTCATCTTTATAATGACCTCATTTCAGAGGGTTGCTACGAAGGTTAAATGAGATTTGAACATATGAATAGTCTGAAACAAAATTAGTACCCAGATGGAAAGCATTCTAAAATGGGGTACTCCTTATCTCTCTCTTATTACTTATAGATAGGGGGGTCATATAATTTGTTATTCAAACAGGAAGGCTTTGAAGATAAAAATGGGGTCCTATTATTAATTAGAATGACTCAACCTGCATAAACTAGGACGTCATCAGATAAGCTGAGACACAGAGGTATCCTACTTAAAATACAGAGACAGACACATACACGAGGCTCACACTACGCAAATTATTCTTCAATGAGCTTTTTCAGTGATGGAATATGTATTTTTGTCTGTCTCGGGTGAGCACCTGCACCCTCTGGTGATTAAAAAAGAGAGTACTTCTGGGGCCAATAGGTAGTGTGGTGGTTAAGGTGCTGGATTCCCATATGGCCAACCACAGTTTGAGTCCCAGATACGGCAGCTTGAAATATCACACTGGCATAGAAAAACAACCATGGATACCAGAGACAATGTGGGAGGAGGGTGGGACATGGCAGAGGGTGAGGGATAGGGAATCAAGGATGGCCAAAAAAAAAAAAAAAAAGGCAAAATATACAAGACATAAGAAATGGAAAATTATTTGTTGATATTATTTGTTGATAACATGTATGTTGAGGTACTTGATTGAGCCAATATACAATGTATTTTGGATGGAAAATTTTTTGTATGTTGTAATGCTGTATAGTGAATTAATGTAAAAAAATAAATGTAAAGAAAAGAAAAAAAAAAAAGAAAAATCACACTGGGCACATGTGCATGTGTGCCCAAAATTCCCAAGAAGAGAATGGAGGAGAAAGAATTGTGGCATGGCCACTACCCCAGGGGGTGATTTCTCACTTTCTTGCTTTCTATCTCTTGTGAGCAAGCACACACACCCTACGGCAAAAACCCTAAGAGAGAGAGAGAGAGAGAGAGAGAGAGAGAGAGAGAGAGAGAAGCTCCCTCTCTCTCTCTGTATCTATAGATGTATCTTGTGACGAGTGGCAGAAATTGCCATTTCTTCCCCTTCTCATCTTCCTTTTGGTGTTAGATCTCTTCCCCCTTTGAGTTTTATCAGGGCATATGGACATCCAGTTAAAGACTACACTTCCCAGCCTCCCTTGCAGCTATGGTGTTTTCATGTGACCAGGACCAACCAATGAGATACAAGCAAATGTGGACCATACAACTGCCATGTTGATTCCTTCCCACGGATGGGATAGTGACAGGGATACCACTCTAGGGGATGGTGGAGCAACAAAATGAAAAGAGCCTGAGTCCCTGGATCACTTCATGGAGCAGAACTTCTCCATTAGCCCTACACTGGTTACCAGTGAACTACAGTTCACATGAGAGTGGGAATAACTTCTATTTTATTCTTTTTTTGGTGAGGTGGGGTGGGAGGGAGTCTTATCACAATGGCTTAGCCTATGTTCTAGCAAATACAGGTTCTCATTAATTGTGATGGTGGTAGACCTAAGTGGTCTTGCTTGGTTTTGGAACCTATTTCTGGAGTGTATGTGCAAGGGGACATGTAGGAGGGATAGGTAGGGATGGATTGAGGAAAGGGAGTGGGAGGTGCCATTTGTCACACTCTACCTTGTGTTCTGAATGGTTGACACATCACTGTTGAGGGAGGAAAGTTTCCTTTTCAAAATCCAAAGGACCAAGAGAAAAAATAAGAAATTCACCTGCAGGGATGACAGAGTACAAGTTAGAAGACTGTGGGATTCTCTCTCTGTCTTTTTCTTTTGTTTTAGGATTCCGTTGCTTACCAGGGAGAGAGACAGAGAGAGGAAAAGTGAGATGGCAAGGCGAGATGGCCACACCACCACAATCCCTTCTCCTCCATTCTCCTCTTGGAATTTCGGGCACATACACACACTTGCCCAGCATGGTTTTCAAGCTGCTGGGTCCAGGACTTGAACTGTGGCCTGCCAGATGGACTGTAGTACATGCTAATATATGCTGATACCCTGTAGGCTGAAGCCACATGGGAGGCCCAGGTTTGATTTCCTGATCCAACCCAAAAGGCTGAGCATGGTGGTATGTGACTAACCCCAGGCACTTGGGAGGCTGACTCAGGATGATGATGGTGATGGTGATGGTGGTGATGATGATGGTGATGATGTACTATGTCCTACCTCCCTACACAAGGGCTTGAATTAGTAGCAGGTGGAAAACCAAACCATGCAAATGAGAAGGTGCATGCCCCTGGACTGTCTTGACCCCAGTACTTCTGGTATCTCTCCTTTACTCAGGAACATGGGAGGCATGTATTTACTCACACAGATAATGACACAGACAGGACCAAGGAAGACCCAGATGAATCCGTGGTCCAGGCGGAGCCAGCATCTGTGAACGATGGGAAACAGGACACCAGGAGAGGTCAGAGAGACCCCATGACATAAACATGAGCTTCTCGAGTCCCTTCTGGGAGCCAGCTGGTGACAAGCACAGTTTTGATGAGTTCCTACATGATGCTGGACATTTGACAGGCACAGTCCTGTTAAATATTCACATTATGGGGGCCAGCAGGTGGTGTGGTGGTTAAGACACTGGATAGTCTCACATGAGCGACCATGGTTCAAGTCCCGGACATGGTGGCTTGCTTCTCACTTTCCCTCTCTCTCTGTGTGTCTCTCTCTGGTCAAATTAAAATCAATGAATGAATAAATAAAATTAAATAAATAATTCTTTAAAAATATATTCACACCATGTCATGAGGTTGGGACAATAGAAAAATGATGGGTTGTCATCAAAGTCATGATGTGGCTTTGCATAGAAAAATGCATCATGGGGACCAGCAGTTGGTGTCATGGCTATGTCGCTGGACTCCCATGTAGTCGACCGCAGTTTGAGTCCCAGACCTGGTGGTTTAAACTCACGCTGGGTGCGTGTTTGTGCATGCCCAAGATCCCGACAGGAGAATGGAGGAGAAGGGATTGTGGCATGGCCATCCCCCCTGGGGGGTGATTTCTCATTTTCTGTCTCTCTGTCTCTCTCTGTCTTTCTGGAGAGTGAATGCACCCTATAGCGAAAACCTCTCTAAAAAACAAACAAACAAACAAAAAACAAACAAACAAAAAGAACCCCCAAAATACATCATGACTTTTCTGACCACCTAATGTTATCTTAATTTCACTTACGAGGGCATTGAGGCTTGAAAATGTGAGGTCCCAAGTCATTAGAGGGAGAAAGCTGGACCTAAACCCTTAGCTACTCCCTTCCAGAATTTTTTTTTTTAAAGAGAGATTTTTGCTATAGGGTGCTTGCACTTGCTGGAGATGCAGAAAGAGACAGAGAGAGAGAGAGAAAGTGAGACATCACCCCTTTGGGTCATGCTGCAGTTCCTTCTCCTCCATTCTCCTCTTGGGATCTTAGTCATGCATGCACATGCACCTGACATGAGTTGCAAGCTGCTGGGTTCAGGACTTGAACCACTGTCAGCCATGTTGGAGACCAGTTGCTGGCACCTCCAGAAACTTCTAAGCTTTTTTCTTTGTAGCAAAAGTAATTTCTTTTTTGAAAAATGATAATTTCTTATTTATATTTAATAGTTGTAAATCTTTATAGTGTACCACACAGTGTTTCAAAGCATATATACAGTGCATGGTAATAAAATAAAAGACCATATATATAATTTTCAACAGAGAACTTCTTTCTTTTTAAATTTTTCTTTTGAGAGGTTTTCGCTATAGGGCACGTGCGCTCGCCAGACAGAAAGCGAGAAATCACCCCCCCAGGGGGGATGGCCACGCCGCAATCCCTTCTCCTCTGTTCTCCTCTCGGGATCTTGGGCACGCACGCACACGCGCCCGGCGTGAGTTTTAAGCCACCATGCCCAGGACTCGAACCGCGGTTGACTACGTGGGAGTCCAGCGACATAGCCATTATGCTAACTGCTGGTCCCGCAGATAACTTCTTTTAAAGGTTTTTTCCATAGGCACATGTGCTTGCTATTGACAGAGAGACAGAGAGAGAGAGAGAGAGAAAGAGAGAGAGAGAGAGAGAGAGAGAGAGAAAGTAAGAAATCACCCCCCATGGGGGATGGCCATGCCGCAATCCCTTCTCCTCCATTCTCCTCTCAGGATTTTGGGCATGCACGCACACGAGCCCAGTGTAATTTTCAAGCCGCCAGGTCCAGAACTCAAACTGAGCAATCAATCACATGCCATCCAGCTGGCTTAACCACCATGCCATCAGCTGGTGTATATCCCAGGTATTGTCATTAACACTGTTCTCCCCTTCTCCCCCCAGAAAAGCTCTCTTAGGAAATCATCCACAGCATAGGATGTGGGTCAAGCTCACCGGGCAGGTGTTCCGTAAAGGCCAGGCCTGACTCCTGCAGAGACAGCCACAACCACAGCGGGGACTCCATAACCCACAGGGTACATGAGCCGCTTCATGAATCTGTTCACGCTGGAGTAGTTGACCACCATGAGGTTCCGCGCGGTGAGGAGCAGGTGCAGGCCCTCCAGCAGCATCCAGGTGAAGGAGGCCAGGTACAGGTAGTGCAAGGCTCCCGCGATGACGGCACACAGCACCTGCCGGGGAAGCATCATAGGAGGATGCTCTGCGCAAGGGCTCTCAGGGCTTCCCCATGACTCTGTCATGATTGGACCGGAAGTCACAGCTGCCCAGGCTAGCTCCTCCTCACTTCCGCCACGCAAGGCTTCTTCAGCCACTGCTCTCTGGAATTTCATTGGGTCCCAAGCTTATTTATGATGATGATGATGATTTTTAAAACTATTTATTTATTTAGCTTTATTTGTTATTATTGTTTATCTAGCATTTGACCAGAGGGAGACGAGAGAGAGAGAGAGAGAGAGAGAGAGAGAGAGAGAGAGAGAAAGTGAGAAAGTAAGCCGCTAAGCCCAGGATTTGAACTATGGTCAGCCATGTGGGAGTCCAGCACCTTAACCACCATGCCACCTGCCAGCCTCTATTATGATTATTTTTTAAATTTCTTTTATTTTATTGTGCTGTCAGAAATTTGTGACACATTTTTGCATAGAAAAACATAGAAAAAAATGTGTCATGACTTTTTTGACAACCCACTAGTTTATTTTTTATTCATTTATTTATCTTTATTTTTATATTTATTTTTAAAAAAGAATTATTTACTTTATTATTTACTTTATTTATTATTATTATTTAATTTGCTATATGGCATGTGGATTCACCAAAGAGATGTCTCTCTCTTTGAGACAGAGGGGGAAAATGAGAAAGCAAGCCACCAGGTCTGGGACTTGAACTGTGGTCAACCAGGTGGGACTCTAGCCTCTTAACCACTATGCCATCTGCCAGTGGGACTCTAGCCTCTGGCCATCTGCCAGTCCCTCTCTCCCTCTTTTTGGGATTTCGTGCCTGGCATGTTTCCCAAACATGCAGTTAGGACTCAAACCACTAATTTATTATTATTTCTTAATATCACCAGAGGGAGACAGAGAGAGAGAGAGAGAGAGAGAGAGAGAGAAAGGAAAAGTGAGAAAGCAAGCCACCAGATCTGGGACTCAAACTGTAGTCAGCCATGTGGGAGTCCAGCAACCTTAACCAATATACCACCTACTGGCCCCGGATCTAGTCCTTTTAACCCAAGACCATGGACTGGCCCTTCAAGATCATTTTTAAAATTTTTTCATTTTATTATTTTAATTTTTTGGAGAGGTTTTTGCTATAGGGCGCGTGCGCTCGCCAGAAAGCCAGAGAGAGACAGAGAGACAGAAAGCGAGAAACCACCCCCCCAGGGGGGATGGCCACGCCACAATCCTTTCTCCTCTGTTCTCCTCTCGGGATCTTGGGCACGCATGCACACACACCTGGCATGAGTTTAAGCCACCAGGTTTGGGATTTGAACCATGGTAGACTATATGTGAGTCCAGCTACATAGCCATTACGCTAACTGTTGGTCCCAAGATCATTTTTTTTAAATGAGGAGAGAGACAGACACGCACAGAGAGAAAGCACTCCCAACATGGTTGGATACACCCCAATCCCTTCTTCTTTTCTCCATCTTGTCCAGATCTTAGGCACACCTACATGCCTGGTGCATTTTTCAAGTCCCCGGGGCCAGGATTTGAACCACAGTGGGCCATGTGGGATCTGGCTCCTTTAGCCACTGGGCTAGGGTGCCAGCCCCCAGAGTCATTTTGTTAGAATTCTAACGCAGCATTACTCCAGCAGCCCGGCACTTCCTGGGGCAGGGCAGGGGTTCTTGGGACAGTCCGTACCTCGGGTTCGGTTTGGTCGATGGCCGTGAGGAAGAGGAGGTGGGCCAGGAAGAGGCAGAGCGAGAGCTGCAGGTGCAGGGAGGTGCTGATGTTCTGGATGGTTCTGCACAGGAGGAAGGTGAGGGCTGCCAGGAAGAGGCACAGCAGAGACAGGCCCAGCCCCACGTAGGTGATGATGGTCAGCACAGGGTCCTCGTCCTGGGACCCAGAAAAAGGAGAGGTGATTGTCACACGTTTCTGCTCTGGGCTTATGATTCCCACCCTTGAACTGGAGCATCCCAAGCCCAGGTACAAAGCCGAACGATAGACAGTGAGCATCGCGTCTAGATGGCCGGCCATGCTGCAATCCCTTCTCCTCCCTTCTCTTGGGATTTGGGGTACTCATGTGGGTTGTCTTTTTTTTTTTTAATTACTATAGGGTGCATGGGCTTGTTAGAGAGATGGAGAGAGAAAGGGAGGGAAAGTGAGAAGTCACCCCCTAGGGAGATGGCCACGCTGCAATCCTTTTTCCATTCACCCCTTGGGACTTTTGGGCACACACAAACACATGCCTAGCATGTTTCTCAAGCCACTGGGCCCAGGACCCTAACCATGTAGTCAATCATGTGGAATCCACCTGCCTTAACCACCATGTCACCAGCTGACCCCAGACCTCTTTTTTTCCAAAAATTTTTTGACACCTCCAGTTTTTTTTTAAAGACACCTTTTTATGAAAATTAAAAAAAAATTTTTTTTTGGAGAGGTTTTTGCTATAGGGTGCGTGTGCTCGCCAGACAGACAGAGAGACAGAAAGGGAGAAATCACCCCCCAAGGGGGGTGGCCACGCTGCAATCTCCTCCTCCATTCTCCTCTCGGGATCTTGGGCATGCACGCATACGCGCCAGGCGTGAGTTTAAGTCACCGGGTCCAGGATGTGAACTGTGGTCGACTACATGGGAGTCCAGGCACATAGCCATTATGCTAACTGCTGGTCCCTATTATGATTATTTTTTATTTTGGAGGTTTTTGCCATACGGTGTGTGCATTTGCCAGAGAGAGGCAGAGAAAGACAGTGAGTGGGAAAGTGAGAAATCACCCCCTCACACACCAGGGGATGGCCATGTTGCAATCCTTTCTCCTCCATTCTCCTCCTGGGATTTTGGGCATGAATGCATACACTCCAGCATGATTTTCAAGCTCCTGGGTCCTGGACTCAAATCATGGTTGGCCATGTGGGAGTCTAATGCCTTAAATACTAGACCACGTGCTGGTCCTGACCTATATATTGTGTGTATACACACACACACACACGCACACACACACGCACACATGCACACACACACACAGTTTCTCTTTCTTTTTCTTTTCCTTTTAGAGAGATTTTTGCTATAGGGTGTGTGCACTCTCCAGATAGAAAGCGAGAAACCACTTCCCTCTGGGGGGGATGGCCACGCTGCAATCTCTTCTCCTCCATTCTTTTCTCAGGATTTTGGGAATGCACACGCATGCGCCCAGTGTGATTTAAATCACTGGGTCCAGGACTTGAACTGTGGTCGACTACATGGAAGTTCAGCGATGTAAGTACGCCATCTGCCATCTGCTAGTTCTATTTCTTTCTTCTTTCTTTCTTCCTTTTTCCTTCCTTCCTTCCTTCCTTCCTTCCTTCTTTCCTTCTGTCTTTCTGTCTTTGTTTTGTTATTTCTCTCTTCCTTTCTCCTTCCTTCCTCTTTCTTTCCTTCCTTCCTTCCCCTCTCTCTTTCCTTCCTTTCTTCCTTTCTTTCTTTAATTTGTTCTTTCTTTCTTTCTCCCTTCCTTCCTTTCTTTCTTTCTTTCTTTCTTTCTTTCTTTCTTTCTTTCTTTCTTTCTTTCTTTCTTTCTTTCTTTCTTTCTTTGGTTCTTTCTTTCAGACCCTCCTCCCCCCAATCCTCAACCAACAAGGTCTCTATGCCACAACCCCACTCCAGCCTCAGCCAGCCAGATCCTGGCACATCCACACACCACCCATGCCCAGGGAGAGCCCTGAATGCAAACTCAGCACCTTTCCCACGTGGTTTCAGCTTCTCCACTTCTGACCACCATCTGACTCCTTTCCTCAGCTCTTATTTTTTAATCATCAGAGAGTGTGTGCTCTCATCAGAGAGAGACAGAAACAGGGAGAGGGGGAAGGGGAAGGAGAAAGTATCCCTCGATGGGATGTGTCCGTGCCACAATCTCTTCTTCTCCGTTCTCTATCTTTTTGAGATTGTTTGCATACACATGCACCTAATGTGTTTTTCAAACTGTCGGAGCTGGGATTCGAACAGTGTGATTGGCCATGCTAGATCTGGCTCCCTTAACCACTAGGATATGGGGATGGCCCTTCTATTTAAAAACATTTTTTAAGAGGTTTATGCCTTAGGGCACATGTGGTTGCCAGAGAGACAGAAAGTCAGTGAGAGGGAAAGTGAAAAATCCCCCCCCCCCAGGGGGAATGGCCATGCTGCAATCCCTTCTCCTCCATTCTCCTCTTGGGATTTTGAGCACACATGCACAAGAGACTAGAATGAATTTCAAGCTGCCGGGTCTGGGGCTTGACCTATGGTTGGCCATGTGGCACTCCAGGGCCTTAACCTGCTGGTCTCTGCTATTATTGTTTCTAATTTGACCAGAGAGAGACATAGAAAGAGAGAGAGAGGGAAAGTGAGAAAGCAACCCACCAGGTCCAGGACTCGAACCAGGGCTGGTCATATGAGAGTCCAGAATGTTAATACCATGCCACCTGCTGGCCCTGCTCAAAAAGGATTAACTAGAGGAGTGAAGGGCTTGCATCATACCTGGCTGGTGAAGGCCATGAGAACGGCGAAACTGGACAGGTGGGTGGAGCTGCATGTGGTGTGGCTTGTGTTCATTTGCACGAGGAAGCAGCCATCCCTAGACCAGTGGCCGCCCCCGCCTGTGCTTTTCCAGTACACACAGAAGGCCTTTTTGCTACTTGGATTCATCTGAAAAGAGAACAGACTCATCACCTTCTTCCCCCAAACAACCTAGATACCCATTAACTGTAAAGTCGGGTGCCAACTGGATCCCATATGGCCAACTGTGCCATTCAAGACCCAGACCCAGAGGTTTGAAAATCACACCAGGTGTGCATGCGTGCTCAAAAGAAAGTGAGAAATCACCCCCCAGGGGGAATGGCCACGCCGCAATCCCTGCTCCTCCATTCTCCTCTCGGGATCTTGAGCACGCATGCGTATGCGCCTGGCATGAGTTGAAGCCACCGGGTCCGGGACTCGAACCGTGGTCGACTACATGGGAGTCCAGTGACAAAGCTGCAGCGCAGAGAACACGAGCTTGAGGTGAATGTTCCCTTCATTTGATTACAGTTGGTCTTTTTTTCTTTTTTTTGGAAAGGTTTTTTCGCTATAGGGTGCATGAGTTCGGCAGACAGACAGAGAGAGACAGAGAGACAGAAAGCGAGAAATCACTCCCCCAGGGGGGTGGCGACACCACAATCCCTTCTCTTCCATTCTCCTCCCGGGATCTTGGGCACGCAAGCACATGCGCCCGGCGTGAGTTTAAGCCACCGGGCCCGGGAAACAAACAGCAGGCGACTACGTGGGAATCCAGCGACATAGCCATTACGCTAACTGCTGGTCCCTACAGTTGGTCTTTTAGTGAGAGAATAAAGTAATCAACAAAATCCCCCCCTTTGGGGAACTTTGATTCACTGTTTAAAAATGAAAAAGAAAAAAAAAGAAAATGGAACTACGTAGAAAGTTGTGGAAACCTGAGTATGGAATCACCTATCTGGGCAGATGATGCCAGCCTGGCCTCCTGGTTAAGTCTTAAAAAATCTTGGAATACTCAATGTAATTTGGAAATACTAAGATAAACACTATCAATATCACCCTACCAAGGTCTTATCTTTTTGTAGGTCTGCCATGTTTCAAATGCTTAGTGGCTGCAGGTGCTCTTGGCTACCAGCAAGGGTCAACCCAAATTTGGAACCAACAACTGAGAACCACATACGAGTTATCTGGTCTACCTCCTCCAACTTCAACCAGCTCTCCCAGCAACTTCAACCCACCTTCAGATGCTGCAGAGTCATATTAACAGGTGTGGAGAGAGACATGTTTCTTTCAGGTCCGATAGCAGCACTCACTACCTGGGAGTTCAGGTAAACCCGATCTTTCTCATCCAAGTTTTCAAAGAAGGTTGCATTTATGATGTTCCCAAGGGAAGAATATGCAATAAAGGCGACTGCACTGGGGCCTGAGGAAACAGAGAAATACAATCTTATTATTATTATTATTTTTTAATTCTGGTAGTGTCCCAGTGGTTAAGGCCCTGAATTCCCACATGGCTGATAGCACTTTGAGTACTGTTGACCATTGTGGCACTGTCTGGCTCAGATTTTTTTTTTTTTTTTTTTAAGGAAAAATCAAAAAATCGGAGGGACATTCTGAGGGTTACAATCCCATCAGGACTCTCCCAGTCACGTGTCTCCATGACTCATTGGGTGATGTTGCTCTGTGTGAAGGATTCTGGGTGCAACCATCACATGTACCTTGTATGTTTCCCTGGATGATGTCATTGCAATGGATGTCCATGGTGTTCATTTGGACGTTGAGGTCAAATATCTTTCTTTCATCAGAGCAATTATTGGAAACCACTCGAGTTTCAACAGCTGGTAAGAAAAGCAATGGTCAAGCTTACTGATTTTGTAAGAAGTTTTAAAAATGTTCATTGTAGGGTTGGTAGATAGCATTGTAGTTGGGGCCCTGAATCCCCAAGGAGCCAGGGTGGTTCAAGTCCCAGACCTGGTAGCTTGAAAATTATGTCACGTGTGTGTATGTGTGCATGCCTAAGATCCCAGAGGAGAAGGGAGGAGAAGGGATTGTGGTGTGGCCATCCCCCACGGGGAGTGCTTTCTCACTTTCTCTGTCTCTCTCCGGTGAGTGCATGAGCAAAAATAAGAAAAAAAAAAAGAGAAAGAAATAAGACTATGGGGAAAAAAGGTAACTATGTAACAGGATAGATGTGTTAATGAACTTTCTTAGAGTTTTTTTGAACATAATTATTTAGGGGATGGCAGCTGATATGATGGTTAAGGGGGCTGGACTCCTACATGGCTGACCATGGTTCGAGTCCCAGACTTTGCAGCTTGCTTTCTCACTTTCTCTCTCGCTCTCTCTTTCACTCTGTCCCTCTCTGGTCAAATTGAAAAAAAAAAAGTTAAATAAAATAATTATTTTTAAAAAGAATTATTCATTTAGTTAAATTTATTATTATTATCATCATTACAATATGTGTATATATAAAATCATTACACTTAAAAATTATTTACTTACTTATTTTAATTTGACCAGAGAGAGAAAGAGAGAGAGAGAGAGAGAGAGAGAGAGAGAGAGAGAGAGAAAGTGAAAGCAAGCCACCAGATATGGGACTAGAATCACAGTTGGCCATGTGGGAGCCCAGTGCCCTTAACCACCAAGCCAACCTGCCAGCCCCATGTTTGTATCTTCTAGAATTTTATTTATTATTTTTATTATAGAGAGATTTTTTTTGCTTTAGGGCATGTGCTCTCGCTGGAGGGACAGAGAGAGACAGAGAGACAGAAAGTGAGAAATCACCCTTCGGGGGGATGGCCACACCATAATCCCTTCTCCTCCATTCTCCTCTTAGGATGTTGGGCACGCACACACACATGGCCACCATGATGAGTTTTAAGCCGCTGGGTCTGAGACTCAAACCATGGTCGACTACGTGGGAGTCCAGTGACATAACCACTATGCCATCTGTTGGTCCCTAGAATTTTCTATAAATGGATTTAATCATTGTATTTGTTTATTTTTTCTAATTGTTTCACTTAGACCCCAACTGCTAACCAGTCCCCAAAGAATATCAGACACTATCATCTTACCCAGTGTATTGTTTTGGATTTTCTGCACTTCTTGCTGTGGGGCTTTCAGAGCAGTTTCTAGAACGTTTGATTCCACATTCTGGAGGATAGAAGTGGCCGCAGATGCGATTTCTTGCTTCTCTCCTGTTTGCCATAAAGTCTCATTGGTGAGAAGTGACTCGAATTTGTTAATGACCTTTTGCAACTTTAAAGACATTAAAAAAAAAAAAAAGCTAATGGTTTTTATACCCAGATGGAGAGTAGGAAGTGTGAGGAAACAGACTCTGGAACCAGAGGACACTGCTTCAAATCCTGACTCCATCAACACCATCTTTGTGACCTTGGGCAAATCACTCAATCTGAAAGAACCCTGTAGAATGTTTTGGAAGATTAAGTGCATTAAGAGATGCTACGCTGTTTATTCTTAGGGTTTTTTTCCCTTTTAAAAATGATTTATTGGGGCCAGTAGGTGGCATAATGGTTCAGGTGCTGGAATCCAACATGGCTGACCATGGTTTGAGTACTGGACCCAGTGGGTTGAAACTCATGCTGTGCACATGTGCGTGTGTGCCCAAGATCCCAGGAGGAGAATGGAAGAGAAGGGATTGCGGCATGGCCATCTCCCCAGGGGATGATTTCTCACCTTTTGCCCAAAATCTCTCTCTCAAAAAAAGAATTATTCAAAAAATGTTATTTATTATTATTATTTAATGTTTTCTATAGGGCACATGCTCTCACCAGAAAGAGACAGAGAGAAAGAGAGAGAGAGAGAGAAAGGAAACACGAGAAAGCAAGCCATCAGGTTTGTGGCTTGAATGGTGGTTGGCCAGGTGGAAGTCCAGAGCCCCAACCACGACATCATTTCCTGGTCCCAAGGTTTTTTTTTTATTTTATTTTTTTATTTTTTATTTTTTTAATTACTAGAGGGCACGTGCACTTGCTAGAGAGAGACAGAGAAACTGAGAGAGAGAAAGAGAAGGCACCCTCCTATGGGGTGAGGTCATGCTGCAATCCCTTCTCCTCCATTTCTCTATCCTGTTGGGATTTTAGGGCATGCATGCACATGCACCTGGTGTGTTTTTTCAAGCTTCTGGGGCTGGGATTCAAAATGTGGCTGGCCATGTGGCTGTCTTCTTTAGAGGAGCTGAGCTGGACGAGAGTGACTACTTTGGGAAGATTGTGAGAATCATATATTGATCTCTATCTATCTATCTATCTATCTATCTATCTATCTATCTATCTATCTATCTATCTATCTCTATCTATCTATCTATCTATCTATCTATCTATCTATCTATCTATCTATCTATCTATCTATCATCTATCTATCTATCTCTATCTATCTATCTATCTATCTATCTATCTATCTATCATCTATCTATCTATCATCTATCTATCTCTATTTCTGTATATCCTAGATAGATACAGCAATATATCGCTAGTAAGATATATAGTGATATACATGATGGTATATATTGATCAATGATAGATGAGGTGGAGCTGGCAGGTGGCATGGTGGTTGAGGCACTGGACTCCTATAGGGCTGACTGTGGTTTGAGTTCCAGACCCAGTGGCCCAACAATCATAACAAATACATAGATAAATAAATAAATGTTAAAAAAAATTGTATGGTATTATATACAGATACTATTATATGTTTATATATAATATATATACTCTTCCATAAAGCCACCCCATGTGTTAATTTTGGGTTTTGTAAATTAAAAAAAATTATTTCTTAAAATATTTATTTTAATTTGACCAGAGAGAGAGAGAGAGAGAGAGAGAGAGAGAGAGAGAAAGCAAGGGGCCAGCTCTGGGACTTGAACTGTAGTTGGCCATGTGGGAGTCTAGTGCCTGCAACCACCATGCCACCTGCCAGCCCCAAGCTTTGTAAATTTTTTAAAAGAAGTTTTTACCATAGGGAGCATGCATGAGAGAGAGAGAGAGAGAAAGAGAGAGAGAGAGAGAGAGAGAGAGATGGGAAGAGACCCCCAGGGCGATGGCCACACAACAATCCTTTCTCCTCCATTCTCCTCCCAGAATCGTGGGCACACAGGCACACGCAACTGGTATGTGTTTTTTTTTGTTTGTTTGTTTGGAGAGGTTTTTGCTATAGGGCATGTGTGCTCTCCAGAAAGACAGAGAGACAGAGAGGCAGAGAGGCAGAAAGGGAGAAATCACCCCCTGGGGGGATGGCCATGCCGCAATCCCTTCTCCTCCATTCTCCTCTCGGGATCTTGGGCACGTACACACATGCGCCCAGTGTGAGCTTAAGCCACCAGGTCTGAGACCCAAACTGCGGTTGGCTACATGGGAGTCCAGCAACATAGCCATTACGCCAACTGCTGGTCCCACACCTAGTCTGATTTTCAAGCCACTGGATCAGCGATGTAACCACTACGCTATCTCCTGGCCCCAAGGCCTTGTAGATATTTTCTACCTAATGTTTCCTACCTGGCTAGGTTCTAGGGGTCAGCCTCTACTCACCTCTTTCCTGCTTTGGGTTGTGTCTGAAGAACTGGGTTCTGCAGAAGATAAGAGAGAGTTACTATTGGGACTGAAAGCAAGGTGAGGAAGAGACTCATAAGATGATTAGCTTTGCGTCTCGTAGGACTAAACTCAGTCTATGTTCCCCAACAAGATAATTGACCCTTTTGGGGGATCAGAGTCTGAGTTCCTTATCAAGAGGGAAAACAATAACTTTCAGTTGATAGGAGGATTTCACCTTTCAGGGGACACTTGGCAATGAGTGGAGACTGTTTTGGTGGTCCTAACTTGGGGAAGGGGATACTATTGGCCTCCAGTGAACAGAGTCCAGGATGTAACTTGACATCCTACGGGTGCACCAGACAGTCCTCCCTCCAAAGAATGAGCAAACCCTAGGGACCAGCAGGTGGCGTGGTGGTTAAGGTGCTGGACTCTCACATGGCCAACTGTTCAAGTACTGGACCTGGTGCTTTGAAAATCACACCAGGTGCATGTGTGTGCCTGCCCAGAATCCCAAGAGGAGAATGGAGGAGAAGGGATTGTGGCATGGCCATTTCTCTGGAGGGTGATTTTTCTCTCTTTCTCTATCTCTCTCCAGTGAGCACATGTGCTCTATGGCAAAACAAAACAAAACAAAACAAAACAAAAACAAAACCAAAAAAACCCCCCCAAAAAACAAACATACAAAACAACCAAAAACCCAAACAACCGAAAACCCAAAACTAAAAAAACTCCAACAAACAAACAAACAAACAAAAAAACAACAAAAAAGAATGGTCAGACCCCCAAAATCAGCACTGCTGGGGTGGAGAAACTCTGGTATAGAGAAAGCAAAGAAATGTAAGCTCCAAATTATTATTATTATTATTATTTTTAATGAGAGAGGAAGAGAGAGAGAGACTTTTCCTTTTTTTCCTTTTGGTGCACAATATGGTTTTCTTTTATTCTTTTCTTTTCTTTTCTTTTCTTTTCTTTTCTTTCTTTCTTTCTTTCTTTCTTTCTTTCTTCCTTCTTCCTTCT